GGAGGAAATTATTGAAATAGCTAACGTCGGTAGCATATTGAGCAAGCAAAGGATCAGGACCACCATCTCCTTCTTCCCCCTCACCACCTGTGGTACTTTCTGCTACTCCAGATTCCACTGACGACGTTTCGGGCATTTCAGTTGTTGAAAACTCTATTGCCATATCATCGGTAGATGCCGTCATAGTGATGAATGTACTTGTTAGTTGTTTTCCCCGCAGAGCCTTCCTATAATTCATAGAAAAGTTAAAGAAAATCACGGTTCTTAGAAATCGACACATGTTGCAAGACACGTGTGATTCTCATCCGTTCATTCTACTGCTTTCAATTTTTAGAACCAGAAATTCGCATTACAGTGTCACTCACAAGTTCACTGCACGGATTTGTGGATTATGCGTTGTATGGGTAACACCTATGACGCCCGAATAGGAGCAAGAGCCTCTCGGATGAAAGACACTTTTGAAGTATTGGAGCAAGCAGCACCTGATACACGCGAATAATAAGACTTCTAGTAATTTTCTCAAAGCGTACCCGAAAAGTGCTCAACAAATTGAATAGTTAACAAAAAAAAAAGTGCTTTGATAATTCAGTTAAACCACTGGCAGCAATTCAGCGTCAGAGCTTGCCTGATTGTCGAGTAGAAATACCTGGGCAAACGCACACACACACATACACGCCATAGGTCTTCAAAATATGCATCCTTTCATTTGTGTATATGTACAAAAACACATAATAAAATCGCTGGCGATGCGCAACAAGCGGGGCAGTGTGCTCATACGTTTTTGCAGTATTTCGTCCTACATTAAAATCGCTTGGAATCCTATTAGCTAGAATTTATGGCATACTGGTCCTCGAAGTTCAGAAAATTAATTATGCAACTGTAATACTTGGTCAAGGAACGTCCTCTCAAAGTATGAGCTTTCTAGCTTTTGTGATTCCGATTTAACAGTTTTTTCGTCAGTTTTTGCGAGGCAGTACGTGAGGACCACGTTTACTTTGGAGGCTGTATCTGAAATGCTTAAGCCATACGAGAGCTGGGAACATTTCCTGATAATTTCAGCCTTCCAGCTTTCCTGGTTCAAGAGTTAGCGATTTCCTTTCCAAAAACTTTCGCGGGATCTTACTTGAGCACCGTACTGGAGAAGGCGATGTAACCTTCTCATCGTGGCTGCGTAAATTTCAAGATTATGCTGACGCACAGAATAGACCACGCGTGACTGGGGGCTGAATTTGAAATCTTTGAGTTGTACGTTGGCCTGAAAATTTCAGTCTCCCAGCTTTACGATTCTCGAGTTAATGAATTTTCCCACCAAAACTTTCACGTGGTCGTGCACAGGGCTCGGATGTGCGTGAGAGTTGGTACCGCGGTCCTGGAATGGCACTTGACCGGGGAAAATTCATTAACTCGAGAACCGCCAACCGATCCGGACAAACGCGCACACACGCACACACGCGCACATACATACACACACATATACGTCGGGGTCGCCACAGTATGCGTTTTTGAGCAAAAACACATAAAAACATAACAGGCAAATCTGTCAGACTACTGATTTCGAGAAAAAAGGCACTTGCTGCACGCTGCACCGCTAAACTCTTTTCTTCTGGCCCTATCCAGAGGAGAGTGGTGTACCGTTGGATTGCGCTATTTTGTAATGCAAATAAATCACCTCAAAAGATCCATGAAATCTTTAATTTGGCGAAACACTTCTGGATTCACTTCCGATGTTATGGCTTGCAACTGCGCCAGTTCTTCCTCTGGTGTAACTGTCATATCTTCCGTGACAGCGCGTATTTGATGTAGGACGTTTTTCGCGTCCTCGGAGAGCATTGAAGATTGCTCCACTTTTTGCTGTATTGCGCTCTTCATTTGTTGTATTCTCTTTTTCAGGGTGCTGAATCGCGTCTGTAAGTAAGCTCCATAAGTGTCGCACTTTGTCAACGTTACTGAGATTACACTTGGCGTGACAGCTCCTACTGCTGTGCTGATGCTTAGAATCCCTTTTCAATTGAAACTTTCAGCAAAATTCTCTACCGAAAATATATGGTCACCTTATTGACCAATCAGTTAAGGATTAAATGCATCTGAAGAATTTTTGGAAGATCGATTATGACCTCTGTTAGTTAAAGCAAGCTCTTGCTGCATTTTGTTGCATAAATTTTTAAAGACTTATGTCATGTTCTGTATTACTTTTTAGTGTTTTTCCGAATAAAACAACTTAATAAGAATAGTGGCCAAGGAGTTCAAATTTCGAAAAACAGCTGAATGTGATGTAATTTGCCAAACCTCAGTAACGGTAAGTATAGTTGTGACGACGTGCTCTGGTCGGTTGGCACAACTGCGAGCATGGTGTGCTGTACAGCTGACGAAAAAATAGAGTTCTTCAATTAAAAAAAATAATTGGCCAGCGCACCGACTGCCGGGGTGATGATGCGTTTTTTGCATAGCTCCCCGCAAGTTCTTGTCGCTTACATCACGGTTTTTTTTTTGGTATATTCTTCTAGCTAAAAGAATTGAGACTGGCCGCCAAGATCGTTAAGAAACATCCCTTGGAATTTCAGCTTTCTTGCCTTTCTGATTTTCGAGTTAGCAACTCACCCGCAACAAATTTTCACTGGCCCGTACGCGAGAACCACGCGCAACTAAAGATAGAGTTTGAAGGCATTAAGTTCTACGTAGATCGGCAACATCCCCTTCAAATTCCAGCTTTCTAGTTTTTATGCGTTTTTGCATATTTGTAAATTGCAAAAACGCATATTGGGAAGAGGCTGTGTGTGTGTGTGTGTGTGTGTGTGTGTGTGC